AAAACAGCTGAGCTTTGATGACACTCTAATGGAGGAGGTAGATGAATTGGGGCAGACCTAAGTTGAGGGTATTATATGAATGTCTAGATGTTGAATTCACTGAAGTATTGCAGATGGTGAGTGAAGCTTCCTGCTGATGTCTCTGTGATCAGCTCTCTCACTGCACGGTCTGAAAAGGAACTGTTTGCTTAAATGTTATGACGTGTGAGAAACCCAAGGGGTAGGGAGAACCTGTCTCTGTGTCTCTTCTCATGCTCCTTGAATGAATTTATTCCAAAACAAGCAACAAATGGGGCGACAGAATCTGTGCTAGTCTAAATGGGTATTCACCAGCCCCGAAGCATAAGGCCCTTAAGAAAAACACAGAGAAATTCTTTAGTAACTGATGAATACTGATAGTTGCTTACATTAGATTTTCTAATTCCAAATATCCTTTCCATTAAACTAGTTTCTATTTCCTGTCAATTCTTTCCTCTTAGGATGATATCAGTTGCCTCTAAGAGAACCTCTCAGATAGAAGCCAAAATATTCCCGTATCTCTCATTGAGTGAAAACTAGAATTAAAAATGATTTATGAGATAACTGGAAGAGTCATAGAAAAATTACAAAGTAAAATTTGAGCATGGTTCTTCTTTTTTGATTATAACCACAAAGGATTTTGTGAACATGTAATTGCAGGGGGTCATCTTTGCTGTGTACAGAGATTAAACAAGAGAAGAAATAGAGCTAAGAGAATGGGGGAGGTGGGGAGAGAGAAAGAGAGGGAGCCAAATAGTGAGAGACAGAAGTAGTGTGAGGGAGAGATTTTTATGAAGAGACCTTGTGACTTCTACCTACAAAAATTTCTGGTACTACTAATTGTGCTAATAGCTGGTGGGATTGTGCAGAGGACCTTGAAACTTTCTCTACAGTCTGATCTCATACTATGTTGGAAACAAGTCATATAACAACTTGCAGGAGTCTGGGGATTAAATTTGTTTTAGAACTTGGCTAAAGAATAGGTATGGAAGCCCTAATTGATTGTATTGTTTGAGAGAACAACTTCTCTTCCTACCTAAATGAAACACTTGCTCATAAAGTCATTATCAAAAATGCAGAGATTGACATTTCCTTTCAATTCCTTGGCATTGCATTGGAGAATGACATCCTAGCCAAGACAGACCCATGGTGCAATTGTAGCAACATTTTGTTAGGAAAACATCTATTCTCCTAAGTAATCTGGTTACTTAGATAACTTAGTTTCACACTTAGATAACTGGTCACTTAGATAACTTGGTTATCACATAGTTGAATAAGGACATAATATAAAATTTCAGATAGTGCTAATTTTCAGAAGGCCTAATCATACTTGAGAGGCACTGTAAGAATAATATTCACATGGACATTAAAGGGTTTAACTCGCTTATCAGTTTAAGTTATTTGTGAATGTTTAGGTTCTAATGATTATATTATTAACCTTTTAAAATTGGTGTCATTTATGCTACATTTATAAATTTTTATTTATGTCATAATTCTGGCTGAATTATTTTCCATGATCTTATATTCTAAGCAAATGGAAATTGGTCTTTCCTACCCTCCCTCCATTTTTAAATAAAATAATACTAGTAAAATAAGTTAGTGATAGCAGTGTTGATCTGGTTTTGGGTGGATTTAGTGAGTAGATACAGGGAGACAGATTTCAAAAAGTTATCAGAAGAACATTTAGCATTGTCTTATTAGCTGGCAACCTATCTCATTTCTGGTAGGATTCAAGTAGTAACTGTCCCTGTTGCTAGATGATCCCTGCTAAGGATTAGAATCCCTGCTAAGGATTATGCATTAGTGTGAGTTTTGGGCATAATGACATTTTAAGCGAGTTTAACTCCAGTCAATCCTAAAGGAAATCAACCCTGAATATTCATTATAAGGACTGGTGCTAAAGCTGCAGCTCCAATACTTTGGTCATCTGATGTGAAGAGCTGACTCATTGGAAAAGACCCTGATATTGGGAAAGATTGAGGGCAAGAGGAGAAGGGGACGACAGAATATGAGATGGTTGAATGGTATCACTGACTCAATGGGCATGAGTTTGAGCAAACTCAGGGAGATAGTGAAGGACAGGGAAGCCTGGTGTGCTGTGGTTCATGGGGTCGCAAAGAGTTGGATACGACTTAGCAACTGAACAACAACTTCAAGAGACCATATACTAAAGGTTATACTATAAATGACTTCTTCATTTTACTATTAATAGGAATAATTGCTGTTTGGTAGGCATCTATTATATATTATATACAGTGCTAAGCATTTTATTTATACCTCCCTTGGTTAAGCTTCATACCAACCCTCTGTAGATATTACTATTATCCACACTGATGTGGATTAAAGACCTGTTTTCTGTTTTTTTTGGATCTATTATCTTGACCCTTCCAGTAGATTATAAATTCATTCTTAAGAGAGAAGTCAGTGGTATACTTTGTAGTATTCCTTATAGTTGCTGCAAATGTGAAAGGATAGAACAGGTTCAGCTTAAAAATTGTCTGCTCAGTCCTGCTTCCCTACCAAACCTTGTGAGTGTTATCTGAAAAACTCCAAAGACATAGGAATGATTGCCACAATGTAAAAGATACAAGCTTGTTATTTTCTCACTTGTTATCCTAGTATCTGTTGGGGAAGTTACTTAAAACATCTTGTGCTTGACCATTCTCATCTGTAGGATGGGATAATAATAGTGCTCCCTTAATTGGATTGTTATAAAGTTTGAGTTATCTAACTCATGCAAAGCATTTAAAACATTATTAGCCTCAGTTCTTTCTCATTTAATAATGAGTATTTAGTTTTGTATGTATTTAAATTACTCTAAGAGGTTGTTTCTTTATTGGAATTAAAGAAGGCACTAGTTAACTTCTTTTGGGTGTCATGATTTTGCGATTTCTACAGTCTTATCTGATACATCAGTTGGGAATTTTTAATAAAAAACCTAGAGGGAAAGAAAAATTAACTCACCTAATAATTTTACTTGCATGTGTTTCACTCTTGGGTCACTTGAAGGGAGCCCAAGGTACATTAAAGGTTACAAATTTTTAGCTCTGTAGTCTCAAAGATTTCTCTATTATCTTCAGAATTAAGTTTTTAAGATGAACTCGGAATTAAGTTTTCCATCATATTTTCCAAGTATTTATAATATCATGTGTATGTGTTTGAGAGTTAAAAAGGGAATGTCCTTTATAATCTTTGCTCAATTGCTCAGTCGTGTCTGACTCTTTGTCCTCCCATGGATCACATGTAGCCCACTGGCCTTCTCTGACCATGGGATTTCCCAGGCAAGAATACTGGAGTGGGTTGCCATTCCTTCTCCAGGGGATCTTCTGAACCCAGGGTTTGAACCCAGGTCTTCTGCATTGCAGGTAGCTTCTTTACTGCTGAGTCATCAGGGAAGCCAAAATAACTTTAAAAATAGTGAATCATAGGTTTTTGGACTACCTTGGGCTTATCAACTTAGAATGCAAGAGGCAGTGAAATATTTCCCATGGAATGGATTTTTTTTAAAGTTTTAGTTACACATTTGAAGTCCTGATTATACCCTATGGATTTATTTGTTTTTGAAAATTAAACTAAGAATTACAATGTTGCAGAATCTTTTCTATTTCATCAGGTTAGTTTCACTATTCATTCCACACATATGATTTGTAAAATTCTGCAATACCTAGAAAACCTTGATTATAAAAGGTTCTTATATATAAAAAGGTACTTAAATACAGATGAGAAAGATAGATGTTTGTTCTTCTTCTTTTGATATTGATGTTAAATAAAAGATGGAATGTTTTTGTCTAAAACCAGTTCCTCATTTTCCTTCCCCCTCCCCACTCCAAACACAATGTGAATGGCAGTGTGAACAAAAGTTCCTTTAAATCTGTTATTCAGTCCAAGTGTGTGTTAGGGAAAAAATTGTGTATAAAACCTAACAATAAAAAAGAGAATTGTAAATAGAAAAGTAAAGCATGTAGATGAGACAAATATTCTGTGCTATAATTTAAAAATCCCAATGGGGTATTCTTGTGAGAAAGAGAGACTACATACTCATTAATTTAAACATGAATTCTCAAAAGCAATATTCCAACATGTTAATTTGCTGTGATAGATTTATCCATTGAAATCAGTCCACTAGCCTTGACCAGCAAGTAAGATCTTAATTTTAACAGTTCAATTGAAATGGAATAAAGATTTTCACACAAATATCTTAGTAACATAGACTTTCCTGGATTGTATTCAACCTTGTCAGTTCATAGGTAATGAAACTCCTGGTAAATGTTAGTTTCTCACACAGTAGCAGGGTCTTACATGGAAAAGGGCTCTGTTCATTTCCTATTAAATCACAAGAAGAGATTATAGAATTGGTTAATGAAAACAGCTTATTTTTTTGGAAATCAGTTAAAAAATCTAAAGTTATGAGTATAAAGTAATAAAAGAAAAAATAGCTGCTGGGATTCCCCTCTTCTTTACAGTGATATGGTAGAAATACAAGGAAAACGCACAACATCCTTTAGTTAGGAAATCTGGTCCCTTCACTTGCTACAGGGCTCAGTTTAGAGTAAGGAAAGAAAAAATATTTTTGGCTGCAGCTTTAGTAAACAATGAATGACAAAAAATATTGCAGAAATATCAAGAGATCTGACAACTCAGAGCACAGATCTTGTCACAGATATTGCCTATATTCCTCCATGAAGCTTGGCAAATAAATAACTGAGCCCGATTTTGGCAGAAGGAGAGAAGGAAGTACTAGTTCCAGCATAGAACCAAGATTAAGAAAAAAACCCAACCAACAAAAAACAGTTGTTTCTTTTCCTGAATAATAAAGACATCATGTTTGCATATAGAACAGCTTTTGCATTATTGCTCTACGTATAAGAATATATTAAGGAACTCATAAACAGACTACACATTACAAACTTAAGGTTCTTTGGTGAAGAATGAAAGAAAACAGTATTTGAGCTTTAAAGAAAATGATCTCATCCACTTTGATTTTATCTGTTGATCCGTTGGATCCTTTCACAGAGCAGGGAAAGATACTGTGTGAGTTTCACCATGGCAACAATTGCCACACCCCCAGCCATCATACACGTTGGCCAAAAGAGTGAATGGAACAGCACGTTGGAACTGTAGAGTTTGGTTAGGATGACACTCTTCTGGTTTCCTTCCGGGTCAGAGTAGCAGGAGAAGTGTTGGTACTTCCTGAAGTTTTCCATGACAACATTCACCAGGGACATGGATTCTTCAAAATTTTTTCCACACTTAGGTATATAGGAGCACTGTGGAAAATGAGATAAACTGTCACCAGAAAATACTGTGTGTGTGTGTGTGTGTGTGTGTATCTAGTACGAGGAGGAGTATAGAGGCCAATTTAATGATCTGTGAAATAACCATGATTTTTAAAAAATATATATTCAAACTAGTGCCTCCAGAAACTCTAAGAACTCACACACTGATTAAAACAATGCTTTTAGGTATTTGACCAGGATGTACTTTGATAGCTTGTTCATATAGTTTAAATGTTGATTAAAATCAAATAACTCAAGTGGATTCATTTTGCCACAGCTAAGCATGGTGTTATTCTCCATTGAATAAACTTTTCCACAGAATAGAGTGTCAACCTTTCGTCATATCTGTCCACAACTGCCCATGTAATATCAAAAGCTGCCAGTTCTCTCAGGGAAAGTAGTTTACTCTTGTCTTTTTTGGCTTGGCTTGATTATTTTTAGTCTAATTACCTTGGCCAAGAAGACAACTATACCCCTGATGAGTTGCTAAAAATGAATCTTGGAAAGTGTAGGAATATTGAATAGTTGAAGACCTGTGATAAATGGTTCATGCCTAGTTAGCACTGACAAAGTAACTTTTTTCATAAAGCAAGGAAAAATAAAGCAGAATTAATTCAATTTACTCTTAAACTAGCGCTCATCTGAGAATTTAAAATATCTTTTCTTTGATCTTTTCACCTGTTATCATTCTTGCTGTCTCTCTTCTATATGCCTCTCTTTTTTTCCTACCTACTTATATCCTTTGATTTCTTTCTTTGTATCTCTCTTTTCCTTTCCTGCCCTGTCCCCTTCCGAGGATATTTCCCCCTCTATTCCCTCTTCCTGTTCTTTCTCCTTCTCCTCTCTCTTCCTCTTCTCTGGGTACAGATGGAATTAAGGAACTTTGTAGTTTTTCTTCTTATTTATAGATATGTTTTTGCATATATTCTCCTAAATTAAAAAGCATACTGAGTGAAATAAGTCAGACAGGGAAGGACAAATATTGTATGATATTGCTTATATGTAGAATCTGAAAAATGGTATAGATGAACTGATTTATAAAACAGAAGTAGAGTTACATATGTAGGAAACCATCTTATGATTATCAGGGAGGAAGAAGGAGGAAAATAAATTGGGAGATTGGGACTGAAATATATACACTACTATATAGAAAACAGATAACTTATAAGGACCTACTATATAGCACAGGGAACTCTACTCAATACTCTATGATGTATATGGGAAAAGAACCTTAAAAAAGAGTAGATATATGTATAACTCATTCACTTTATCATCCAACAGAAAGTAATACAGCAGTGTAAATCAACTGTACTCCAATTAAGAAAAAAAAGCCTCTCAGGAGATGAAATCTCTGTGACCCACCTCCTTGGTCTGTAAAGGAGCAGTGAAAAAACTGATATAACAATGAATCTATTTTTTAAAAAAGTTAGGAAAAAAGTGATTTAAGTCACTTCTCTGGGAGATACGTGGGCCTTGGTTAAGTTTTTACCCTCTTTACGGTAAAAAGGGGTTTTTATTGCCTCCAAATAGGAAAAAAATTCCTATTCCCTGTTATACACATTATCAAATGATTAATTTAATTGGCTTATCTGAATTAAGATGGTTAGTGACAAGATTGCTGATAAACTGGTATTTTCATGTGAATTAGAAAACTATGCTGAGTCATTAAAACACTTATTCTCTGTTGAAAAATGTCATACTACACTTACTTCATGAAAAAAGCCCATGTATCTTACTAATATTGCCAGTTTATAAGGTGTGATTTGAATATTAACAACCATGACTTTTACAGTGTCACTGGCACTCCTAGGATTATACAGTACTGTACACAACTCATAGGCCTGTATAAGGAGACACAGATGAGGTGAGCTGTTGGTGAACTTCGAGGGACACTGATGGAAGTTTTGGGGCAGGATTCTGGAATTCCAGACACCAATTTAGACTTGTATATTTCACAGAAAGGAAATATAAAAGAAATGGAATGAGTTTTGTTAATGGAGTATGTTTGAATGACTCTTTTCCCTGTTTTAGTGGGTATCCTGGCACCTCAATTTTTTTTTTTTACTGTGCAATAATGATTGGATTATTTCTCTATAAACATCAGGAAGATTCTGCAATTAGTTAAGAAAGGAGGATGTGCATACTGATATTGATCGTAAACAAGGCTTAATGTTCTCATACAAGGGCTGGTTGATACTTTCAGATTTAATCAGCTAAGAATAAATGTGGGTACACTCATAAATGTGAGTACTGCAGAGACCTGGTACTAGCACAACATTAAGGGTCTGAAAGTGTCCCCAAGAAAGCAGAATTCTCAGCGAGTTATAACTTGGTATGAAAATTGGCCTATGACTGCCGTGAAACAAATTTTCTACCAGTTGGATGCTTTCTGGATCAAAAGGGTTTAAAGTAATAAGGGGATACCTTTATATTTTTCCTTCTTCAGAGCTGCCCAGGTCATGTCTACAATTTTTTTTAATGCTTTGATTTGGAAAGCATTAAAAAAATTTAAAGACATTTATGGTTGAATTAAAAATGAGCCACTTTAGCATATAAATGCATCAGGCTTCTTTATATTTTGGTGCCAGGAGAGTTTATAGTAGTAGTTTTAGTGGCTAACAGTACTAAGTTATTGAAATGATCTCAATAAAAATGGCATTCCATTAAAAATAGAGTTTTCTCATTTCTTATGCTCTTGTGAATTGATTTGACTTTAAAATTTTTTTTGGATAAATGTTTATCAGCCAATGACAATAATTTTGTCACTACATAAGATTCTTCCAGATACAATGAGATATAAATTACTTTTGAGACCATTTAGCAAGGCTGTAATACAGAAGTTGCTTTATTAAAGTTTGAAGCCATCAGGGTCTCAAATGCACGTGTTTGGACTAGTCGGATGAGGCGTGTCCCATATGGTTGGATGTGGGCCCATTGGCCAGTGGCACTTAGAAATGCAGCTCCACGTTACTAGTGGAGAAAAGATTCCTCTGCTCTTGTGCTTTTAGCTTTTTCTAACCATGCCACCCTCCACCTTTCAACACACATAAACTGCCTTCCACTAGACTAATATTATCCCTGAAAATTCCACCATATGTCAGTCATTCATTTGCTTTTATTATTGGTGAGACCTTCTTTTGTGCTTGTGAATGTATGAGGTAGTGTAACAAGCCCCTGACATGTCATCAGAAGATCTGGTTACTGTGTTTCTATAACCAAGTTATTTGGCTTGTTGAGTCCTCACAATCAACTTCTTTATCTATATAATGTGGTTATATTATATATATAATATATATAAATGCTATTAATTAATGTTATATATAATTAATTAATGTTATATATAAATAATTATTATATATATTGATGTCAGGAGTCTTCCTGGCAGGGGTGTGTGAGGGTGTGTGAATATGCATAAAGTCTCAATAAGTTTTTACTAATAAACTTTTTATTGAAATGTCCCATTTGTCTGTATGATCTATAAAGTCTTTAACCACATGCCCCATACTAAAGTGCAAAAACTTTAAGGATGGTAAAATGACTAGCTATATGGTTTTCACAGGAATAAACTTGTTTGATAACTCATGTGTTCCTTGTTTTTGTGTCCAAAGAGATCTGACATTATGCTAACCCCTACATTAGGATTCTAGATTCCTGCTTCAAAGTGCCATGTGTTTGTTTCTAAGACTGGTATGAATTTGGGGTAAGGATTTAGTGATCTTATGATTTCATCATTTTATGTGATTAGTTTAGAGTATGTAGAATGCATTTCAACAAATGAAAATTTGAGTTGAGTGATTTACGCTTAGTTGGAAAAATGTAATGTAGATTGAAAAGATAAAAATCCTTGAGTTTTTAAATCATTCTTTTTTGATGGAATGTGTGGTCTAGGAAAAATTTTATTTTAGAGTGCATGATATATAACAAAGGAACATAGGAATAATAGTTTTAGATACATAAGACACTTGCAGAATACACAGAAGAGCTGTACTAAAAAGATCTTCATGACACAGATAATCATGATGGTGTGATCACTCACCTAGAGCCAGACATCATGGAGTGTGAAGTCAAGTGCGCCTTAGGAAGCATCACTACAAACAAAGCTAGTGGAGGTGATGGAATTCCAGTTGAGCTATTCAAATCCTAAAGGATGATGCTGTGAAAGTGCTGCACTCAATATGCCAGCAAATTTGGAAAATTCAGCAGTGGCCACAGGACTGGGAAAGGTCAGTTTTCATTTCCAATCTCAAAGAAAGGCAATGCCAAAGAATGCTCAAACTACTGCACAATTGTACTCATCTCACATGCTAGTAAAGTAATGCTCAAAATTCTCCAAGCCAGGCTTCAACAACACATGAACTGGGAAATTCCAGATGTTCAAGCTGGATTTAGAAAAGGCAGAGGAACCAGAGATCAAATTGCCAACATCATTGGATCATCGAAAGCTAGAGTATTCCAGAAAAACATCTATTTCTGCTTTATTGACTATGCCAAAGCCTTTGACTGTGTGGATCACAACAAACTGGAAAATTCTTCAAGAGATGGAATACCAGACCACATGATCTGCCTCTTGAGAAATCTGTTTGCAGGTCAGGAAGCAACAGTTAGAACTGGACATGGAACAGCAAACTGGTTCCAAATAGGGAAAGGAGTACATCAAGGCTGTGTATCGTCACCCTGCTTATTTAACTTATATGCAGAGAACATCATGAGAAATGCTGGACTGGAGGAAATACAAGCTGGAATCAAGATAACTGGGAGAAATATCAACAACATCAGATATGCAGATGACACCAAATTTATGGCAGAAAGTGAAGAAGAACTAAAGAGCTTCTTGATGAAAGTGAAAGAGGAGAGTGAAAATGTTGCCTTAAAATTCAACATTCAGAAAACTAAGATCATAGCATCTTGTCCCATCACTTCATTACAAATAGATGGGGAAACAATGGAGACAGTGACAGACTTTATTTTTCAGGCTCCAAAATCACTGCAGA